TGTCCAAATCTGTTTAAAAGCCGTGAACATCTTATGACCCTGATTGTTAACTGCCTACCAGTGAACATATATGTCGATCTCACGCACAAGTCCGAGACTATTATGGTGAATAATCTTCTGGGGTCTAGAAAAGATGGAATCATCCCAGAAGAGGAATGGACCACCTTTATATTGTCGGTTTCTACCGGCATAACAGGAATGCTGAAGGATATGAAAAATCTTTTATAGTTAAAGATAAAAACTCTTTGAAATTTCAATGTGAAAAAAAGGCGAACTTTTTTTGTCTTCACTGCACCTGTACATATATTATTAATTTATGCACTGTTGACCTTAAATGTTTTTCAATATGATAGAACCAATCTCTATACTATAGAGGAAATAAAGAATGTCTGTCTGTCTGTCTGTCTGTCTGCCCTTGTTCTGATTTGTTACATCAAATTTTTTTTGAAATATATCCAAATGTTATTTCTAAATTCATTTCTTTTTGCGGAGATTTTATTTGCAGTTGAACTGAAAAAAAATGTTCATATCAACGTCGGTTCATTCTTGATAGACCCAACCTTGTTTCTATTTTAATACTTTAAAAATTACAGCATATATCTGAATGGAATTTTGAGGCAAAAGTCAAAATAGATTGCGGTGTTAGTATATAAAATTTTATTGATAACATTCCATTATTGAAATTGTTATAGCAGGTGTGACTTACTTTTGGATCAACCCACATACATTTAAAAAAGCATGTTTTTCATGATAGTACAATTTATCAGTGATTGACAAAGAAATCGGTGAAAGCCTGTTTTCTGTCTTTTTCATCTAATTTTCGCAACTCTACTCACTCGTAAGAAAGGTGCAGCCCGTCTCTGCATCACAATGTATTTCATCACAGACGCATAATTCTTGACAACCATCTCCGAAATTTGGATATCGACAGTGAGATGAACAATCTATCCCTTGACGACCAATAGGACATTCTGAGAATTGAACGAAGAAGTTAAATTAAAAAAAAAACAAAATATAAATTATCATGAGACTAGAAAAAAAATTACAAAAATATCGAGATACTCACTGATGCATTGCTTTTCATTTTCACTCCATCGAAAACCAGCACAACACCTCTGTAATCTGCAAAAAATAATGTTTTATTCTAATACGATATTTTTTGTCCTTTTCACAGATAAAGAAATTATTCAATCTTTGCAGTTGGATATGAAGTTATTTCATGAATGGGACAGGTTTTTTTTTTTTTTTTTTTTTTTTTTCATATTTTCACGAGTGCAAAAACGAGTGATTTTTTTTGAATATATTCTGTGTCACGAGAAAAATAAATTCCATTATTAACTACAAAGTATAGAAAGCTTTTTATTAGATTTTCTTTGATGTCTTGTTTTGTCTTTTCGTAATTACACAGTGCCATAGGTTGTGACTTTATATTTCAGATGTTGAGACCTCATAGCTTAGCGAATGTGAGACTGAAAACATTGTAAAGTGGTTTTCAACAACATATTAGGAGAAAATATGGCATTTTCAGTCTCTGTCAAAATGGTTTATTTACTCTCTCCATCCACTAGCAGACCAGATAATATTTTTTTAACCAATAATTTTTTGTGAAGGGAAGGAAAATCAATAGGGTTACTGCACTTCTGATATTCTTTCACACTGGGACAAAATATCACTTTGGGATTCTTTTAAACCGTGACAGATATCACATCTAGTAAACATATAAATTATAATATGTAACGTTTTAAAACATAATAAATATAAATACTACATACCCATCGCATGCATCCACCACATTCTTTATACATAAGATAGACACCAACGATATTAAGATCAAAGCAATATCCATCCTTTTTGAAAGTTGCATGATAACAAAGTTATTTAAGGAATGTTCTTTCCAAGATTTTTTTAAAAAGTATAACTGTATGATGGTGGATTATTTCATTATGTGTGTGATGCGTACGACTAGATGGTTATTTGACAAAAAGTCGTGATAATATAAAGTATTCGTTTATTATAAGTAATATTTCGAATATATTATGAAATATCTAATTATGTTGGGAAAGACCACCATTGGTTTATTTCCGTTCATTAACAGATATGATCATATTCATGACCAATTATAATAAATGAGGATAGAAAAATACTAAAAATACATATGAAGCAAATTTGTATATACTGGTATACTTGATTCAACCAATGTCAATGTATAGGAAAAAAAAATAGGAATAATGTTGTAAACTGATGGATTTAACAATTAATTTGATGTTTTGTTGATACAGAATTTCGACCCTTATTATCTAAGTGAAAAAAAAGCAACAATAAACGTATATATGTATATAGATGAATTCTTCAGGCATATTTTACCATTATTTTAAAAATTTCGTAAGGAATTTCTTTGGGGGAAAAATAGATAGATAAAAAAAATCCAAATACAAATTTGGAATGGGAAAGGAAAAATACATTACATGTGCAGGTATTTTCGAATATTTTCAGGTTCTTCTTATGAAGGAATTAGTGTTTCCTATAAAATCGTTATATTACCTGGAAAATGTTATTCGTTTGTAACTTGAAGAATACCTAACGTGTATTTTAACTAGTTAGTACAAACATATCACCATGAGAGGTGGTTAGAAATAGATAAATGCAGTCACAACAAATATTTATTAAATAAATGGTTACTGTTCGATAAGATCCATTTACGTATATACTATTATCTACAAAATTTAAAGTTTATTAAGAAATTACAGTGATCAAAAAAGTTCTTCTATTTGATTTAGTACCAGCTGGATATGATAATTATGATAGTAAACACTAAAAATGTATGTGTATACAGTACCAACCAGACCCAACCTGACACCCAAGCAGTCCCCGGGACTTCTTTGGGACCGCTCTGGGGGTGCTCTGGGACCGCTGTGGGACTGCTCTGGGACCGCTATGGGACTGCTCTGGGACTGTAGGAAGCAGACCCAGCAATCCCTGGGACTGCTTTCTGGGACTGCTTTGTTCACTCATGCGAATGACATGATAGCTCCGCCCCTTGTGTATTCTGAATTTGCAGCTCCCTGTTGTTGCTTTGTTTACCTTCTGCAGATAGGTGTTAAGATAAAAATGAAAAAAAAAAAACAAGTATTTCTTACAAAAATCAAATAATTAGAGATAGTTATGTTATACATGTTATTACTAAATGTCTTCAGTGGCTGTAAATTTACACAATTGTAGTCAAGAATTAATAAAAAAAATGAAAGTAGTTAAAAAGGGAAGTCAGGGGATGATTTCTAACAAACATGTCATTTTAGTAAGATATTCAAAGGGACGTGCTGTACTGGATTTTTTTTTTTCTGGCAGATTAATAAAAAGTAATACAATTGTATGAAATGGTGTCAACACCTGAGGTTTTAAATCGCCTTTGGGCATAATTAGCAGAAAGTCAATGCATGTTATTTGGGTATCAGTATTACACATCATTGAACACGCTGGTCAACAATGACACTAATTTCAATCTATGTACTGCAAAAAAAAATGTTTCAATAATTGTGTATAAATTTTTTTCGGGATTAATTAATTCAGAATATAACCTGAGGGTCTCAATTGCGTGATTTACAGATGTACACTCGAACACAATATAATTATATATTTACATAATAAAACACTTAAAACTAGAATCTAACGATAATTGAATTGGCAAGTCATTGAAAATAATCATGACTGAAATTTAATACTCGGCATTATTTAACAAAGAATGTTTCAAAAGCTCTAATACTTAAGAAAATGCATGCAGAGTATAGTATGGGAATCGGCCTTGCTCTATAATTATAAGAGTCGCCCGGTTTGTGGTTAGAGCGTTAGCTCTAGAATCGCGGAGTAAGGAGTTGATCCTTACGTCGCGAGTTCGAATCCCACTGTGGGACGTGGAGACCGGTCCTTCGGATGAGACCGTATAAACTGAGGTCCCGTGTCGCAGTAGGTGCTGGCACGAAAAAGATCCCTCAATGACCCTGAGTGCCGAGTACAGGTCATTGTTTATTGGTAATCTCATTCTGAGTATGCTCCGCCCATTAAATTAATTAATTAAATTAATTAACCCCGCCCACTGGGACTGCTGAGACTGCTGGGACTGCTTTCTGGGACTGCTGGGACCGCTTTGAGACTGCTCTGGGACCGCTGAGGGGCTGCTTTAGCAGTCCCAAAAAGCAGTCCCCGGGACTGCTCTGGGACTGCTTTGTGTCAGGTTGGGTCTGGTTGGTACTGTACATAGAACATAGATTGATTCGGCGAACCAAAATCCAAAATAAGCATTCAAGAAAACTTTATGATCTTCAAATTATCATTCAAGTTTATTCTGTGCTGTAGATCTCTGTATTTTAAGCGACAAAGTTTTTTTTATATGTAATTTCCGTCTAAAAGGTGATTACAATTTGACAATGTATCTAATAAAACCCTTTAAAAAATAAATCCTATTCTTATTCCCATTTCCTCCTCCATACCCTTAAGTGACACGCTTAGAGATAAAAGAAGGTATGACTAAAAATATATTAACATTTTTTCTTCAGTTTCTCTTAGGTAATATGTTTTTAGTAAAGGATATTTATGGCTAGAATATGACCACGGCACCAGAAAGTGCAATATATGTTATTCTTTTTTTTCTTCAACTGCGTAGATTAAATGTACGATTTGTATATATTTTTTATTTACTTTTATTTAAACGTAAACTATAAACAAAGTAGATCCCCGAAATGCACATCTTCATGTGTCAATAGGGTATTTATGTTAAGATTTCTTTATTGAAGCAACAACGTTAAAATGACCTCATTAAAAGTCTAGGTATTTTTGATATATAAAATGAGGGATGAACTACATTTTCAGAGATCAGATCTTCCGATGTACTTTGAGAGTGTTTAAATATATATATTAAATTTCTATTGAATGAACAAAAGAGACAAATTCAGTGCATTTTTTTTTTTGCATATTATGATGTCATCTTCATTTCACTTACAGGTCGAGAAAAGCTGTTTATTGATTTAAAAGAATGATGATCTTTTATCTTGGTGATCTCAGCTTAGTTTACTTGTTCAAAATGGTAATTTGTATCCAAAATTAATTTCAGTCAAAAATAATGGAATATTGGAATACTAAAACACGTATTATTAGAATGATTTTTCGGCGAGGGATAACATTATTTTAAACATGTATAAGGCTTTGAATTTTAGATATCTGAAGTTTATAGTAGGAAATGTTTGGCCTCCCTACCTACGATTAATTATATCAAGAAATGCCCAGATACTAGAGAGGAATGGAATAATGCAGCGAAACTCAAAGGATGTGAAAATATCAAACAAAACTGTACATCAAAGGAAGAAAAGCTCAAATATCACTGTGTAATCAACAGTTTTGGAAATGCAACATTAGATGTTTGTGCACCAACCTGGTACATTGCAGGTAAAACAATAAAATTATTGATACACTGTACACACCAGGCATAAAATCTTTTTTATTCATTTTCCTTATGTAGAGTATAATTACTAATCCCTGCCAGACAGTGTTAACTGATGTGTGTATATTATAAGTATTCATCGTTACATGTCATTTATAATTTTATAGACAAATGTGCATCTCAATCTCGTTCTTGATATCCTTAATTAGCTATGAATGTTCCAAGCTACAGAAAAACAGCTCTTTAAGTAGTTTTGTATGTTATTTACAACAAACTGAAATATGAGTTTACAGACATAAACAGTTCAAAAAAAAAACAAAAACAAAAACAAAAAATCAATAGATAAAAAATGATAAAAATTATAATCATATTACGACAAAGTTTTAATATAAAAAAATACTTCCTTTCCCATTTTTGTCTAAAATAACATTTTGTGTCAACTGGTTTACTTCACTTGTCAGATGTTTCCTTATTACTATTAAATACACTGTATAATCATGTATTTCATAGTTGTAAATAAAGAGCAAAATATAAAAAAAATCTTTTGAGGTAAAAAGCATACATACCTTTGACATATTTGTTCTTATTTAACAGGATACTGTACTGAGTTTAACGAGGAAGGCTTACTGATACAAGATCATTATGCAAAAGACTGTACAAATTTTGACAACACCTGTCCAACTCGATACTTGTCAACAGATGCCTACAAATGTATCATTGCTTTTGAAACACAATGTAGCTCACCAGTATCTTACAATAAAACATGATAGATCCACAGGAATACCATCTTTATAAAAATTTGTTTGATACAAGTACTAGTAACTAAGTATGATAAAAGTCATATTCAACATAGAGCTGAGCAGATAAAAAACATCACAATGTATGACATGTACATTAAAGTGTTACATGTAGTAGGAATAACTTTTGTGAAGATAAGCTTACATATATACAGAATAAAATAAGCACTTAATACAATTAATATTATTTTATTACATATTAAAAAAAAGTTTTTTTTGTAATATGCATTTTACAGATCAGGAGTGTTACAAACTGGCTACAAAAGCCGCCAAGGAAAACCATTTAGGGCAAATGGATGCCTTGACAATAGGGTATGTTAGATAATGCAATTTTTTGCAATTTGGATAAATTGTCTTTTAAGCTTGATAAATACATAAAGTTGTATTTAATGTTGAAAAAAAGGTGCAGGAAATATCTAATATATAAACTCTCACTTTTATTTTTCCTGTCTTTTTGCTTCACCCATTTTCTTATTATTTACAGAGAAACTGTTATGGGGATACTTGTAGGAATACTTTTTGCAACATTCATCTGCTGTATTGTTATGAGATATCGAAGAAATTGGCGAGCCAAGAAAAAGCTTAGTAAGACTCCCCTCCATATTCTTGTATTTTTATGTATAACTTTGCCAGGAAGTCAAAAGTTATATCTCTTAACTAATACATGCTTAACATTGTTTTGAAGAGATGCTGAATAATGATCATGCTGCATCGCAAATTAATATGGGACGCCATGAAGGTAATCTAATCTCCGTTACAAGTGTCATATTCTTACTGATAGATATTTGAAGACGAAACTCAGCAATGTCTTTTAGAAACTCCTAAATGTAAAACGGATTTTAAAGTCAAAATACAATTTTATTAATTATTATTAATTTTATTAATCTTTTCAAGTTAGGGAGCTTTGTAGTTGTACATAGACTGAAAGATTAGTTTTTTCCCTTATTTTTATGGTACCGTCACGGTAGCGGAGTCGGTGGAGCGCTTGCTCTGTGATCGGAATGTCGTGAGTTCGAACTTCGGCCGCGACTGACTCTAGTCGACAAAAAATATGTAGCAACTGTTTCTTCGCCAATCGCTGCGCATTTTGAAGTGAAAGTTGCTGGTCTCTCAGATAATACCCTAAAAACCAAGGCCCAGTGTCACTGATTGATTGATTATTGTTGTTTTACGCCGAGTCGGCAATATTTCAGCCATATTTCGGCGGTCAGTGTCACTGAAGACGCTGGCATATAAAATATCCCTCACTGCCCAATTGCCCTTGGTGCCTAGGAAAGGTCTAAAGTTGAAACCCTTCACCAATATATGGTAACGACTCTACATGCGTGAAAAATTCTTGAACGGGACTAATACAACATACAATCAATCAACTTATTTCATGGTCGAATCCACACATTTTAAAAGGTATGTGCTTATCCGCCATCTTTAAGGGAACCAGAGAACTTTTACAGCAGCCATTGTAACTTTCTGTTTTGTAACTTTGTCATTTGACCGAAAATAATCTCTGTATCTTTTGTCTTAATTGAGCAAGAATGGTGCTGCCGATATATTGAAAGAAAGTGTATAGGAACCTTTGATTTATTACAACACGCACAAAGGTTTCGTGGTGTAAAGACGAAAAGCATTGACATTTCTATTAACCTTTCGAATGAACCCGCAAAATGTGGATTTGACTATTGTGTACAACATAACAGAAATTTTTCTTTCAAAAAATCTTTATTGTCTTTTAATATAAATTGAACAAAACCTTTCACTTACTGCATTTTCTATCAAACAGAAAAAAGAGAAAGTGCATACATCAAAGGCTATAAAATATTTCCACTCTTTGTAACGTCTTCCAATGAAGACGGAATATTATTAATGATAAATTTGATAAGCAGTGCATATGTGTGATTTATCAAATTAAGTATCCCGCACATTATTAGACATTATTTCGTATTTGTAGCGGACCAAAGAAGACAGTGTAACAACACAAGACTGATAAATGAACTTCGGCAAAGGTATTTAAATTTCTAATCAGAACCTGTACCTGTGTGTATAAATTACATGTATAGTGTCTAATTATAAATAAATGCAGGTGTTTTTGTGTGCATGAATATGACTGTAGTATGTGTATTGGTTTTGATGTAATTAAAGGACTTATCGCATGATCTTTCAAAAATCGTAATTTTATGAAAAATATTATCTACAACCTTGTTTGTTAAAATACTGAATACAATAAAAGTTGTTGAAAGCATATTTTAAGAGACTTTGAGAGATGAAATTCAAATACGGCAATATGCATATTTCAGTCGGATTTCGGCGAAATACAGCTCTGACGTCATAAGCGACAATTCAGTGATAGAGAGATGAGAATATACACACTATTTACGGAGCTATCAACGACAAATGCATACGAAAAATACTGAAAATATTAATTCCTACGTGCTTTATAACTACTAAAGAAAATAAACTAATTGTAAGGTATAGGGCTTTTGAGATATTTTCGTTTTTTATTCGAAACATTTAAAATCTGTTCAGCTCCGATTACGGCAATGTTTCGTGATCGGAAAATTATTTTTCAAGACCGCCATCCATTACAAAACATGCGTAAATTAATGTTATGCTAAAAACGAAGAATAACAAATTTATACAATATTAAATTTGTGAATGAAATAAGTTAATACATGTGATAAGATGACAAATCGAATTGTATTGTGATGGCGAGTTTCTTCGTCTTCGCCGCGTCTCCTTCGATATCGTTGCTGCTATTTTTACAATATTAACAGATTTTTCCGATTTTTTTCTTGCTGACATTTCTAAAATATAAGGTTGGGTATTCAATTCCATATCGATAAAATCAGTGATTTGGTCGTCCACAACCAGAAAATTCAGGTTGTATCGCGTATATTTTAGTAAGATTAACGTGAGGAGCTGATCATCCATGGTCGCCTTTGACGTCACAGGGTCACGTGATCGCTATCTAATTAACTTAGATTTTTAATTCAGGGGTTTTAATTTGAGTCAATAATTGGTTAATTACCTCGGTTTATCTGCAGTAAAAACACAAAATTTATAAACTGTGGTCATAAGGAACGTTTTACGCTTTTAATTTCAAATAATTTAGAAACATGCGATAAGTCCTTTAATGAGCAAACCTGAGATATTTGAAGGGTTTGATAATTTTATTTAATTCATTAAAATAAAGCCACACGTTCTTATTGTTATCTATTACTCTTTCAACGATCAATTTTCGATCCTGATTGGGCACATGATTGTACAAAGATAATATGATTACGATAAGTAAACGAACAATGAGAGTCTATTTCGATTTTTCTTTGTAAAATATGTGAGAAAATCATGGGAAAAATTGCATTTATTAATTAAAAAAAAACAACTTGTCATTTTTCTTTATGTCTTAATGTTAACTCGTTAGCCTTTGTCATTATTAGAGTTAAACTACATGTGTTTACTTTGAGATTTAAAGAACAGATTTACGTAGTAAGTAGATGCTGTCAGGAAATGTAGAAGGTGAATATAGGTGATCAATCTGAGAAATCCAGCGAAAAATAACAATCGTACAAAGGGCAAAAGACCGACACATGGAAACACCAGAGGTGGTATAAGGTGCCTATGTAGCTCTATCAGTTGATGTTATAGGATTTCAACAGCTTTGTTGAGAGTCAACATTTCGAAATTTTATGGGTTGTACATGCAATGTTTCGTACCAATTATTAGGTGTTGTTACTTAATTTGACTGCGGAATATTTCATATACATGTACCTGATCAATGCATAGGTACACAGTGATTGTAACCAGTCGACAGGGGATGCTTACTTCGCCTAGGCACCTGATCCTACTTTTAGAATGTCTAGGGGTCCATGTTTTATGCCCTGTCACACATTCGTATTCGTCATAGATTTTTGAGACTAATCACCGTTCGTTACCTTCACAATTTTCACATGAATGGCATTAATTCTCAAAGTACTGAAGACTAACTTTTTTTTTTCAAATGAAGCAGTGACCACATTGCACTCAGACAATAACTGTGTAAAATAGATTACATTTCAAACACAAAAAGCAATTTACGACAAAATGAATATCTATGTATATTTCTCAGTCAAATTTCTTCAGATTTATATAAAAAAATGGCCTGGGTAAATACCTCCTTTGTTGTTCCATGTTGCTTCTTCTCTGATTTTGCGTCACGATGCGTCTATTGTATTCATAAACAGTGTTGTGAAATAATCAATTGCGTCATTTTCTATAACAGTGTACAGTGTTGTTTAATTTGCTAAGGTATTTCTATATGAATAATATATTGCTAATTTACAAATATATGATGTTTAAGAAATGAACACGCGTGAAATATTAGTGATTAAAATATTGAAAAATTGCAAAAGTCTTTCACATGGCTGAAACCCCCCCCCCCCCCTTTTAAAATATTAAAAGTTGCCGATATGGTATATGATATACAGTAGAAAACTTAGGTACATTTGCCTCCTCAATGATAACGTCTGACGAACATTTTCCTTGACAGTGCCTCCTCCTCCTCCCCCTCCCCCCCCCCAAAAAAAAAACTCAAAATGTTTTGCCCCCTCCCCTTCCATCTGAAATTGATTCCTACGGCCTGTGTCGTAATATTGTTTCTCTTTTTCCTTTTACTGCGTACGATAATTATGAAATTTTGTGATAAGAATTATATAATGTTAATAGTAAATGCTTTTCAAATGATATGAAGTCAATGTATTGCCCGTCTGTACACGTTTTTCTGTGTCATTAAATATCCATATATTCTGTATTTCAAAAACAAGACCTAATTTGTTTTCTGATTTGATGCATTTGAAAAGGGCATTAAAGTTGGATGATTTCGTACACTTCTTATTGTATACCAGTTTTAATAATCAGTGTTTGTGCATAAAAAGCCGATATTTATATTTAGTATTTTAACCCTCTGTGTTTAAATGAAAAACAAGACTGCTTTAAACTTGAACACAAGTTACACAACACATTTTGCAGTTTAGTTACATTTTACATAATTTCAAGTCACTGAGAATCCTTACACATTATATGTCATAAAATGTTAATTTGATAATCAAAAAAAAAAAAAAAAAAAAAAAAAAAAAGACAATTGTAATTCTTCATCTTAGAAATTACTCTTTTGAACTTTTCAACTAAATACATCTTACACAATCTTTCTAGGGAAAGATTAGCTATCAAATGTGGTCAGTAATTTATTTCTATAATGATTTATTAAAATGTTCTGTTCTTTTCCTAGGATCCAGGAGGACACGGATGTAATTACATATGAGACCATCAACTACGCAGATGTAATATCAGACTCCAGTAATAATTATTCTTCTGTTTAATCTGGAGAAAATCTATCGGATATTTTTATACGAAGATATAGCATAAGTGACAGCTGACAATAAAAATCTTTAATATAAAATTAACTCATTTTAACATGTTTAAGTCGTAACTTAGCATTATGGGGTTTAGTAATGCTGTAATCACTTCTACAGTTTACGAATGTATGTTTATATAACTTTGTTAAACTTGATGAAAATGAGCTAAGGTGTAAGGAGATCTCAATATATGAAGCTATTTATGTTCCTCAAATCTCACAGTCTTAAACCTTTTTAATGGATATGAGGAAACTTAGCTAGAAAGAACTAAAATGTCATGTTCCCAGGACTTCCATGTAAGCAAGTTTAATGTACTCTGTATTCTTTTTATGCCAATTCATTATAGACTTTATCTTTGTGTGATTTAAGAATGGCTGATTTCAATTTTAGTGAAAATTAAATTTCCGAACATACTTTTTTATTTGCATCATCATCATCATCATCAACATAATAATAATAATAATAATAATAATAATGTATGGACCAGGTACTTTTTTCACTCAAAGTACGAACATGTATATCTGATGATGGTCAACCTATAATCCTTTGTACTAGACCTGCTCTTTTAATTAAAAAAAAAATAGTAAAATCCCTTGTTTTAAATGAAAAAAAAAAAACAAAAAAACATGGTACTTTTGCTAAAACAATAAGAAAATTTCAAAGTTTCAAATGTTTTAGAGAATAATTACGAAATAAACCATTCTGTGTCAAAATGGAACTTAAACATATTTAATGAATCAGTCGTTTGAGTCATTCTCATTTTAAATAATATTCTTGAAATATTTTAAGTGTTCTTGTAAGACAAAAAAATTTTCATAAAAACTGTCACAGTTTACAAGTACATAGTACATTTAGTAATAACATGCAAAAAACAAAGGTATTTTTATCATCATTAATTTTTTTCTCACTATATTCACTTTAGAAAATCCTTGCCATTCATAATACCATATAAATATATTTTTCTTTTTTACATTGGTATTATTATGTACATTAACAACAGTTTATATTACGTAACTCAGTTATTAGTTTGAAAGAATTCTGTTTAAATTGCTTTTGAAGTCTTTTAAAAGATTTATCTTCTTGTCTTTGTGTTAATTGGTAAAATAATTTATAATTAGATTTATTCAGGTTCATTTACTATTTGCAAAGTTAATACTTACTCCTCCTAGGCACCTGATCCCATCTCTGGAATTTCCAGGAATCTATGTTTTATGCCCTCTTCACATATTTATATTGTTTATAGATTTTTTTGGATCGATCACTGTTCGTTATCCTGGCCTTTTTCATTAAATATCAAAATACTCTGCACCAATCATCAACATCACGCAGATCGATGTATTTGATACAAATATAGTCTTTTTTGATGAGATAAATTCCTAAATATTAGGATTTAAGGGGAAAAAAAAACATATCGACCGAGCACAAACTGCGAAGTTGGTATGCTTTCTCTAAGGTGCATATAGCTATAGATTTTACCGAATCAAAAGGCTATATTATATTTGTTTTATTATTAGTATATATATATATATATATATTTTTTTTTTACATCTGTTAATGATTTATAATTTTATATCCTCAAAATTCATGTATGTTATTAATACTCAATAGTTTTTCATTTAATGCATTATTACATCAGAATCATATTGACATCGAAAGCAGCTGAATATTTGTTTTAGAGGCTTAAAATAGAAAGACCCAGTTATAATTGATCATGTGGCCTAGTTTTAGCCAATCAGATAACTGGGAATGATAGAGAAAAATAATGATTTTTTTTTTATACATGTACATGTATGTGTCCAGTAACAAACTCAGCTCTAAGAGAAACTATAAATTAACTGCATGATCCAAGAAAACAACTAATACAATTATTTGTTTATTATTTCTTTAAACTCAATTCGATCTTGGTAATTAAATCATTTATTATAATTGTCGAAAAAAAAATTGGATTATATCGGCTAGACTGATAATCACAATGCTGGACATCATTTGATACTGGATGTTTACACTTAAAATAAATTTTACATTTTTTTTAAAATCAATCCTTTCCAGTGTAGTAGAGCAATACTTCTTATTTCGCAAAGACACCCCTTCCCCGATGAAGTAATATATAGCAAAGTTTCCCCATTGGGGAAGTTCTGCTATATATCAATCACTGTGACAATGATTCCGCATAGCAAACCCTCCTTAATTTACGCTATCTGTTAAAATAATGCATGTGCAATTAAAAGGGTATAGCCTCGATTGGTTTATCCTGCGATTTTATGATTTTTTTAATTGTTTTTTTTTTAATTCCTATATTCCTTGTTCCCTAAAACAATATATAAAATATCACCAATAGTGAAAATATGAATCTTGGTTGTCAATTTCGTGTATCATGCAGTCTGGACCGAATGGAAACGGTTTAGAAAAGTTTCACTTCTATCAATTTGCCCTGCAAAAGCAATACTGCAGATAGCGTGAAACAGTCTATTACTATATAAACAGTACGTAAATGCAGCCCACGCTATCCGAGGAACAAGTAAATAAATTCACAGAGATGATATGGAGGTTATATTTCCATATATATTTTTTCCGACTGCAAATCAGCTGAGTTTACTTTGCAGCATTTCTCGAGAATTGACCACTTTCCGGAAAAAAAGAGAAATGTTTATTTTAAATACTCCAGAGTTACGTTTTCCTAGTCAATATGCATAATATTTATGTCATATTAATAATTAAGTGCACACTACAATCGCACACTTGAAAGTAATGTTGCATAGATGCATGCATATATCAGGGACTGTCTGAACGCTTCCTTGATATAAAAAGAAGATATACATGTATTCAGCGATTAGTATATGTATAAAAATTTGCCATATGTACCTTAAATTTGAATCAAAACCACAGTCCTATTTTGCACGTAGGAATATTTGAAAAGGCATCCAATATATTTTACTCAAATGTAAGTTCATGAACTCCTTTTAATAAACGTAAAAAGCAACAAACTTTAGTTCATGCACCAAATCCATTACGTTTGCTTGATCGTCAAATTTTAACTTGACCAATTTTTTTTTCTTTATAAACAAATCCAATTACGGAAACCCTTGAATGACATCGGTCACTGAACTCGCCTTTGCTAGAGTAATATTGTTTACACTAGGTATTTTATGCGACAGCATCACACATGTATATACACTGGTATAAAATACTGTATAGGGAATTAATTTCACGGGTTGTAATTTTCACGTTTTTCTCTCCTCAGACACGATCGCGGTTTGATGAATTCGCAGAATTTGTACGAAATAAAAGTTATTTCCCTTTTTTCTGCCTTCGTCCATTAAAAGTTTAGCCAAAACGACAATTCGGTGTTAAAAAGTAAAAAAAGTGTCAGCCAGAGGGATATATTCCCTACATAAACTATATTCAATTAACGTATAAAAGTTGTTAGATTTAAAATTTATCGGAATTAATTTGGAAAGCGCCGTTAAAAAGCTCCGACAAAATATTATAGAATTATTTCGTGTCTACAGGAAATCCAAAATTTATTTAAATAAATAAAATTTATAGAAAAAACGATGACCCTATTACCTAATGTCGATAAAAAACTAATACACATGCTCAGGTGACTGGTACCCGCAGCGGTAATGTAAGTTACGCACGGCTAATCAAAACCCAGATAGCATGACGTTGGTAAATGGTTGTACAGTTGGCCGATGGTTGGCGTTGGCTAGACAACGTTGGACCAACGTTGGACCAATGTTACCATGTCAGTCTTTTCCTTTAGTAGCCAACCAGGTTGGGATTCTCACGTTTGCCCAACGTTGGTCCAACATTAAGCAACTCCTTTTGGTACATTGTCTACGGTCGTTGGGATTCTAAAGTTGGCCTAGCGTTGGACCAACGTTTGTAATGCAACCTTAACACACTTGATTATTTAATCTGGTAACAGTATGTTTGGCCAGTGGTAGCATGCGTTTCCTCTACATTGGTCCAACGTTGTCCCATCGTCGTTCTGCGAACTATAGAACGATGTGCATATGAATTGGGAGTATTACATTGGGTCATTGTCGGCCCAATGTTTGCTATGCCATTAAAAAGATGCATGTTTATTTAAGCTGGTAACAGTAGTTGGTCCAGCGTTGGCCCAATGTTAGCATGAACATGGTCACTGTGTGCTGGGAATGTAATGCTGGCCAACCCAAGGTGCATTTCGGTTTCATAAAAATTTATTATCAAAAACTGGCTGTTAAAAGAGGAGAGATTATTTTATTAACTCACTGAATTTTGATTTAAATTGAAATGAAAAAAAAAATCTACCAGAACCCAAGTTATGAAAAAAAGCTATCAAATAATTATTTAAGATTATAGTAATGTACGAAAACTGCAAGTAGAAGTTTAATTCCACACAAAATAATAAAGTTGAGATCCTATATTTAGCGTCTTGGAACTAAAGTGTTGTGTTTAAGAACTCCATATAATTAGGTCAGTGGTGAAATTCACTTGCTCAGCAGGTGACTGGCCGGTTTCCTAGGAGACGAGCATCTTAATCAGATCTTGCAAACTCAGAGCGGTCACTTTCTTATAACGCCCGCACTGGAACAAAGCATACTTTCTTACTCAAAAAAGAGAAAATGGATTATTTTAGCCATTGAATTGTAAGTAAAATTGTTATGTGTGATTGATAGAACTTTATGCTTTGTTAAAACTTAACTTACGCATAATGTAAAAATTTTTTAAAGAAGTTATTAAAAAAAACCACTTGTTTCAAAATGTTCATGTATATTAACTAGTTATCTGTTTGAAAGAAATAAATTTTATTTAATGATATGGTATTTTTAACATTCATAGCAACTGGTGGAGAAAAATCCTCTGTGTCATATGGCCTTTGATGCAAATTAAAGTATTTTCCTGAAAGACATGGATTCTAGCATAAAGAAACAACAATCGCATGGACAGGAAAAAGGAGTGGACAATTCAGATGTGATATGGACGGGAGAAAATGCACAATTAATTTACATTCCTACATTCTACAAGTTTGAAATAGTGGATTCCTATACTAGAGAAATTTAGAAGTGATTATATATTATTAATAGTGATGTGGAATATACTTAAGAAAAACATTTGAACTATCCCTTCCCCCGCTGATTGCATTCAATAATTAAGATTCCTTAATGAAAGTGACATGAATACTCTAAAACATTAATAAGAGGAACAAGTTGATTTTCTGAAATTGATTAATTTCATTGTATTGAAATGATGGAAATAAAAACAAATACAGGAATTGTGTTGTACTTCTATGATTGAAAGCCAATCATTTGCCATGTAAGTTGAATGCGTGTCCAACGTTGGTCCGATGTTGGCGATACGATTACTATATAGGCCTATATATG